AATTCACTACAACTGCACCAGGGGAGGTTTAGATTGGATGTGAGGAAAAATTTCTTTACTGAAAGAGTAGTTAAACATTGGAACAGGCTGCCCAGGGAAGTGGTTGAGTCCCCATCCCTGGAAGTATTTAAAAGACGGGTAGATGAGGCGCTTAGGGACATGGTTTAGTGGGCATGGTGGTGTTGGGTTGACGGTTGGACTCGATGATCTTGGAGGTCTCTTCCAACCTTAATGATTCTATGATTCTATGATTCTAACTTGAGTAGTTGCAGTGAATGGAGACAAGCCTGAGCATGCTTTGCAATATACTCAGTATGAGCTGACCTTTAAATGATGTCATTTTGGCTAAATATAAATTTACATATATTGGCCCAAATTATCTGAGGGAGCTGGCTTTTGCGGAGCTCTCCCTCTTGTACGTGAGGACAGGGTGGGGTCATCACAGCCCTGCTGGGGCCGTTCACCTCTTTCTCAGATCACTGGCATTACGAAATGGGAGAGGAGAGGCGAGCAGAGGAATCTGTATCCTGTAGGACAGTGTCATGGTTTGTTCACCAGAGCCTTACAGAAGAAAAGTTCCTGGTAGCTCAGTGTGTCCTCTGACCTGACCAGCCACAGGCTGGTTGGGGACCATGCACGGAAAACTCTTCAAAAATATGCTTACACCGCTGTACTCTCCTGAGACCCCTTTTCTATAAGTAGCCTCTGTAAGGAAGTTATCCAAGTTGTGGTTATTAAATAAGCTTATAAAGATATGTAGATATTTGGAGAATACAATTTTTCTCACTTATTTCCCTCTGAAATTCAGAAATATTAAATAGAGGGGTTTATATTATGGGAATGTCACAGAGATCATGTAAAATTTTGCTGATTCCTAATCTGTGTTTCTCTGACACCTTGCATTTTAACACAACACAGGTGTTTTATGTCACATGGGGAAAATAATAGCATAGTGAAGAGGAAAAAATGTGTTTCATACACTTATTTATGAACTTACATCTGCTTTCATCAGAGTCAATGGTTGGCAAAACTCCAATCGGCTTCAGTAGGAGTGGGAGCTAAATTTAACCATCAAATCAGCTTGAATCTAAGTAAACCTGAATAAAGGCGAGGCTTCCAGGTCCAAGGACCCATGGAGAAGTACTTTCTTCAATAGACATTTATCAGCAATCAGAGCTGAATCAGCTCAGGACTGGACAAAGTGTTCCTGGGTAGCATGATTGTAGTCTTTCCACTTTCTTTTTTTTTTTTGGTGTAAATTCCAGGTGTAACACAGTATATTTACAAAGGGTAAAAATAACATGCAGCTGTGAAGAAAAACATCTCAGGTTTCATTTCAGACCTGGAGCTCAGGATGAATCACTGCAAAGCTTCACCCTTTACACTGGGCACACTTTCTGAAAGTTGCTTTTCCACTGCCCCTGCTCCCCTGGTGGTTCAGAAATAGAGCAGACTCACAGAAAGTCCTAAAAAAAGCCTTTGCAGACAATCACTCTCTTGTTGTTCTGAGCACTAAAAATACCATTTTCTAGCGTCTGCCTGCATTTTCAGTTTTGCTTTCTATACTGTAGAAGTCCATTCCAGCCATTTGAATTAAGCCTCGATTCAGTGGTATGCATAAGCACACGCTCAATTTGAAGTACCTGAGTAGTCCTGTTAGCTCCCATGGAGCTGCTTACGTGCTTGAAGTTAAGCATGGTCTTAGAAGATTTGCTGAACTGGGGATTTGCTTGTCCACCCAGTAAGCTAATGGGACAAAGCCCTTGACCATCTGCTTCTGGATTTTAATGAAAAGTTATGATTTATTTATGATCTTCTTCCCCAGCCTTGTCTGTTTATATTCAGATCAGAAAACCAGCTCAGAAGCCCTGTCAGATTGCCAAAAGCTGTGTGCTACTGCTGGATCTTTCACATTATTTACTGTTCAGTGTTTACAAGAGTGTTTTTAATGCATGATTGCCCATAGAAGTGGTGTAAGCTAATACTGATGTGATATTTCACATCAGCAGCAAGACTTTGATGTCCCTATATCCCAAGTTCCTTTTCACAGAAAAACAAAATAAAGTAACTGTGCCAGTTAGGCCAAAGGATGCTGCTAGCTCTCTGTTTCCCAAAAACATCCCTAAAAAGTCAGTGAATGGGCCAAATGGTTCTTTCTTTTGTCTTTGTAACACAACTGACCTTGGGAGTCAGGGTGGGCATCTGCACAGGTATAAGGGCAGGAGTTGGATGGTGTTTCCAAATATATGTGATTTAGTATGCAGACTCACTTATGCATATATGCCATTTGTATTTGTAAAGGTAAACAGAAAAAGCCAACATTTTAGTCACAAGCAATCATCACAAAAGCTCTTTTTCAACATGTTTATGTCTGAAAGAAAAAGTTACTTTGTTTTGCTTAGCTCTGTTTAGAGAGAAATAAGCTGCATCCCAGAATTATATGTAGAGGTATGTAGTGGGATAGAAAAGTTAAACCTGAGAGAATAATACCCAAGTATTCTGCTTCTGAGAGGAAAGGCTAAATTCACCACCATTCAGGCAAGACCACGTGCTGACTATATCTTCTCTTGTGGTTATTATTCAGTCCTGTGGCTGACAAAGCAGTTGTAGGACCTTTACACAAGGCAGATTTCATAGGTAATATGTTATGTGGCACCCAAGATATTTTATACCTGAAAAAGGTGTGTGAAGCCAACATTTCCCAGGCAACATTCAAGGCCCTGTTCCTTCTCCTAAAGAAGATGACAGTACCCACTGAATGGTTTCTGTGATATATTTTATTTTTAAACTGAAAGCCATCAGCAGTTAATTTTTTTTTAATAATACATTAACACAACATGGTAAAATTAGTAGTAACACTGCGTAGAAAAAACCTGATATACTTAAAATGTACTTTTAGTATTTAAGATGTATACTAAATCTTTTCAGCTTTCCAAGTGCTAGTTATTTTTTAAAACACACGTGTGAGAATTGTAACTGCATTAGTTCCTGACCCATGGCAGTTGTCGTGGTTTAACCCTAGCCAGCAACTAAGCACCACACAGCTGCTTGCTCAGTCCCCCCCGGTGGGATAGGGGAATCTGAAGAGCAAAAGTGAGAAAACTGGTGGGTTGAGATAAAGACAGTTTAATAGGTAAAGCAAAAGCCACGCGCACAAGCAAAGCAAAACAAGGAATTCATTCACTCCTTCCCATGGGCAGGCAGGTGTTCAGCCATCTCCAGGAAAGCAGGGCTCCATCACGCGTAACGGTTACTTGGGAAGACAAACACCATCACTCCGAACGTCCCCTCGTTCCTCCTTCTTCCCCCAGCTTTATATACTGAGCATAGCATCCTATGGTGTGGGATATCCCTTTGGTCATTTGGGGTCAGCTATCCCGGCTGTGTCCCCTCCCAACTTCTTGTGCACCCCCAGCCTACTCGCTGGTGGGGCAGAGTGAGAAACAGAAAAGGCCTTGACTCTGTGTAAGCCCTGCTCAGCAATAACGAAAACATCCCTGTGTTATCAACACTGTTTTCAGCACAAATCCAAAACATAGCCTCATACCAGCTACTATGAAGAAAATTAACTCTATCCCAGCCAAAAGCAGCTGAACAGTCAACTCAACTGAGTCACTTGGGCATTGGCTAAAATATCTGCCACATCCTTTTGATATATGTTGAGCAGACTGTGGTCTAAACTCTATTATTTTTCCTCTTCTGTCCTAAAACAATAGCAAAAGTCTTCTGGGAAAGCACCTGTATTCTGACCACTGGTGGGTTTACAGTGACATTGCTGCCCAACACTTGCAGCAAGAGCTGGGATTTCTGAGCTGGGGAGAGCAAGAGGCTCTGGGTGAAACACGGAGTCTGGGTCTTGGAGGGTCTCTCAGTTCTTTGGACTGCAAATTAGTTGGTTTGCAAGGAACCAAAATGAAGCATCGCAACCTGACTTGCAGCTTGTTTAGTAAGACCATAGTACAGTTTCAGGAGTTAAATGGCAGGACTAAAAGAAAGCTTGTAAGTAATGTAGTATCACTAAAGAAACCAAAACCCAACTAACACCCTCCTTACCTTGCCAAACAACCTCTTTACATTTAAAGGTATTCCCGGTGGCTCTGTTCTTTATCTTGATTTTTGTAACAATTTTTCTCTCTCTGATGAAACACGTTGTAGACATTAAATTAAGGGACAAATATGTCTGTGTCTGCCAGAAAGAAAACTGTGATGCAATTAAAATGCCATTAGGGAACCCCCTGTGGGATGTTAAACCTAAAGACTCTATTCAGAAAGCGAAGCCAAAATTAAAGAGGTGTCTGGTTGCAGATCCTCTGCAGATTTCCATTTCTTGACTACAGTACCATGGAGACTGTGCTAGTCAGGAGCTGAAAGGTTTTTCCAGTCATGCGTGTGGTATTTTGAATCATGGCATTGGCAAATGTTCCTTTTCTGTAAGCCATACATAGAGGTGTGTCTACATTGCATGACATAAAGTGCAACTGAGCGTGGCCCATATGAAACAGTGACAGCAGTGGAGATGGGAAGCTGTCCAAGCCTTGGACAAGCCTTGTCTAAGGCTTGGACAATGACAACTAGTAATAGTTTTCCCTCAGAAAATTTACATTAAGTGCATGTCTGTGTTTGCTGAGTTGTCTGTAAGATGTTTAGAGAGAGAAGTGCAAGCTACTTGCAGCCATCAGGCTCAGCAAGCTCATGAACAAGCCTCCATTCTAGCCCCATCTCTGGAAATAAATCGTTAGTGTTTATATGTTTGGAGACATGTAAGAGCCTGATCTCTTGAAAATAAAAATAAATATATGGTCCTTTGAGGCTTGTCATTTTTTCTGAGGCAACTGAAGGAATTAGCAGAGTCATTGGGTGGTAGGTACTGAGTTTTCCAGTGACAGCCCAACCCTGGTGCTCGAGTCTCATTCTTTCCATTTCATTCAGCATGATTCTTTGCTGAGGATATTAGTAGGGACTGGAATAATAATAGAAGCACATCTCTCTTCTCTGTCTAGGAATTCCCCTGATGACTGCAGCGTGGCAAAAGGAGGGAAAATGGTTAGCGGCTCAGACAATGTTGGGATGAACTATGGAAACTACATGGAAGAGAAGCATGTTCCACCCCCAAATATGACTACCAATGAACGAAGAGTCATTGTGCCAGCAGGTTAGACCCTCTACACAAAAATTTCAGGCAAAAAAAATATGCATTTCCCCTAAGTCTACTACATTATTTAAGAAGATTTAGAGAAAAGTGGCAATATGATACTGGTGGTCAGGAAGAAAACAGCAGTAATTTCCCACGGTTATTAAGAGAACGAGCTGAGAAATACCATAGTGAAGCCACCTCCTCAACCTGTTCTTCCCATTTCAGCAGCAGAACTGGCTGATTACAGGCACTCAGATCTTATCTAATTCTGTATCTCCTTTTGGAGTATTTCACCCTAAAGTGGGAAAACTGAAGAGCCACTTCCTGTTTCCTAACACCATGGACTAGCTGAGTGCAGTGTGTGGGAGAGAGAAAGGATCACTGTTGTACTGCATGATATCCCTGCAAATACCAAATGCAGTCCAGCTCTCAGCATGCTAAAAACACAATAGCTTCTGTGAAATCAAACAGTGCATGAAAAGCATTTATGTAGATTATCCCCTGAGTTTGGGCGGTGTAAAACATTTTAATAAGCAAACTGACAACTCTGCTGCAATATAAGAGCACAATTGAGAAATTCTTGGTTAGTCTTGGCAAGCCTGGTTGTGGGATTCAGCAGTTAATTGAACAAAAAGGCTTTCACTCCTGTGTGCCTTGTCCTCCAAACAAACCTCTACTGGAAGGTTTGTTGTCTCAGTTTGCAAAATAATTGGCATGCCTATTTCCAAAGTCAAAGCATTAGACCATCATGACATACGTGGGTGTTCATAAACCACTGGATATACACAGCATAGACACAACACCTGCAACCTGCGAACAGAAGGGAATGTTTTGCTGCTAGTTCCTCGCCAGCAGAGATGTGCCTATCTGAAACATTTCTGCTACTGCTATGTTGCTTAATATTCTTACAGTTTTTCAGTTGCTAAGATATGCAAGAGTACTAACTGTGGCCAATTTTGCAAGCTGTGATTATTTCAGTTATTTGTCAAGATATGTGCGGACAAGTATGTTGCAGTATGCTCTGCAATGGTATTGAGAGTTCTGTTCTGAAGCACAGAAGAGCGATGCACTGAATAATGAAGTGTCCTGCCTTACTGGAAGCAGACCACACTGAAATTCACGACATTTGAATGTTCTTCTAAAACATTTGTCTTCTTGATGGTTGGCACTTTTTTCAGTCTTTTAGTAACCCTTAGCATGGTTAGCTCAGCAAGATCTTTTTTTCTCAGTGTATTCCTAGAGGTGTGTTTTGAGGTGGATTTGAGTGACATTCAAGGAACAAGATGGTCACAGTCACAGCCTTTCTATTTTGAGGTCCCTAGAAGAAATGTATGGGTAAAAATCAGTTGGTTTTGTTTGACTACCACATAGGCAGTGTGCAGCTCATGTGGCAATGTTTAGGAATAAAAAAAACCAAAATTCACATTTCCAGCTGTGGTAACTTTCTAGTTATCATAAATAAGAAGCATTTAAAAATTATAGGCATAATCAAAATGTTTTGGTAAACTTCCTGGTGTTTGGTTGTTTACTTCAAACCAAACTGCATGTAGTTGTTGGAGTTCTTTGCTGTAGAGGTGGGCAATCTCATCCAGACCCTAAGTTTACCAACCAGACTTGCATCTCTCTAGATTGCTACATATTTCATACCAGATGGGGGGTTCTTTTAAGTGTTGTTTGGTGCACTTCAGAGAACAGAGAAACCCTCTGAAGCTCCAGAGGATTAAATATTCTGACTTGCAAGGGCTTAAAATGCCAAAAGAAGCGTCAGAAAAGGGGAGGCACTAGTGGGTGAAGGATTGGGAATGAGCAACAGCATGACAGACTCTCAATACTTCCTAGCCCATGGAAAGAGGTCCCCACCTCTTTCAGACCAGCCTGAACAGCAGTCAAAAGAGAGAGGATGGCACTGAATTAAGCCACAGAAAAGCTATTCAGGCTGTCACTCAAGTCACAGCCCTTCCACAGACGTTTACATGACACAGTACAGCCATTTGACCTCTGTGTGCTCCATTCTCAGTCTTCAGGATATCACAGAATCACAGAATCGTTTAAGTTGGAAGGCATAGACTCTCGAGAAGTTTGTTTTTTCTCTTCAAAAAGTATAAATTCTTCATGGTAGGACCTGTCTTCCATTATGGGGATGTGCACTGCAGGTCATTAGGGACCTTCATGTTTATGGGTACTTACTGTAACTCAAGAATAGGGAAAAGTAGAATGGAAGAGAAATAGAAAAGGAGGAGTTCAGAGGCAAAAAACAAGTTTAAGTTAAAATCAAGGATTCATTCAGAAACACAAGGTATATGGCCTTAATGTTTTGCTTAAAATCTGGACTAGTTCTTGTTCTTTTTCCCCAGATGGTTTTGCCAATACTTCAGGTAGTAAGTAAAAACCCATGTAGGTGTAGCAATGTACACCAGTGCAACACAGCAGTCTAGGAAAGGAAGTGCAGAATATTTTAATATGACACACTCTATGAAATAACTAGGCAAATCTGTGAGTGCTTACTTAGCCTATGCCCAAGAAACAGTGCTTCTGACCTGAGTGGAAATTGCACTTGAATAAAGATAGAAATTCAATGGAGAGCTTTGAAAATTGTTCAGATGCAAGTTGCAGTGCTGTCAGCGGGCTCCCTTAAATACTTATCTGAAGAGTATTCTCTGCATGAGGACAGGTTTAATCTGTGGATAATAATGCATAAAAATAATAAGACAAAAGAACTAAATGGGAGAAGGAGCTCAACAGCAGAGGGTTTGTTAATAATCAGAGCTCACAGCTCTTTCCTAATAGTTTTTCACAGACAGTTTTTCTCCTTTGCACTCAACAGGCCAAACTAATTCCTCGTGTATCTCCAGCAGTCAGTAAACTGCTGACTTAATTAAGCGGATTAAGGTCTCTCCAGTTTGACTGTGGTCTACATTTATTTTGTACTGGTCCAGTGCAACAGCACTCGCCCCTCTCTGCCTGATTTTATGCTTTGTGATACCATCAGATCCTACGTTATGGAGCACAGACCACGTACGCCAGTGGCTGGAATGGGCGGTGAAGGAGTACGGTCTCCCGGATGTGGACATCTTGTTGTTCCAGAACATCGATGGGAAGGAGCTGTGTAAAATGACCAAAGACGACTTCCAGAGACTCACCCCAAGCTATAATGCAGATATCCTCCTGTCACACCTACACTACCTCAGAGAGAGTAAGCTAGTTTTCTGTCATTATGGTAGTGGCTACAATCAGTCTGTGGTTGATATCAGTCTTAGATTTAATGGTGTGGGTACACTCAGCTGGGTTTTCAAATGTCTGTTGCAAATGTTGCTGTTCCTAAGAACATAGTAGGGAGCCTGATCCAAAGCCTCTTGAGTTTGATGGAAAGATTCCCATTAATTTCAGTTGGCTTTCACTCATGTTCATCGAAGAAAAGAGTTAGGGAATTTTTCTACATGTCCATCTCAGAGAAAAATCAAATTGAAACCCAGCATATTCATCAGCATACTGTAGGAAGAAAATCATGTGGGATTCAGTGCTAATGTTTTTTCTGGTCACATACTCATTTCTTTCCATTTTAATGATGAGAATGCTAAACAAGAGTACAAACATTGATTCATAAAGCGAATTCCAGGCATGATTCTAAGGACTGGCAGCAGTTTGCTCTACTCTGAATAGGATCAGGAAGATTTCACTGAATTGAATACAAGTTCTGTAAATTCATGGAAAAAAGGAACAGTCCCTGATGTCCAAATACAAATTATTTGTAGTGCATGGCTAGCATTTCAAAGGGAAAGAAGGGACTAGTGAATTCCTGGCTTGAGGGCTTTCATCTAAGCTTGAGGAATTTTGCAGGTTTGCCTCAGTTTAAAGAAGTTAAAGTGAACATGGTTTTTAAAGAAAAAAACAACAAGCATTGCAACACCAGTGCGGTGCAGTCTTCTCCACACGCACACTGTCAATAATCAGTCAGAAATATTATGCATTCATAATGTTGAATAAATGAATGCCCTAGTTTAAGCTGTAGCGCACACGCTTCCCTCCAAACTGCAGACTGAAACTGGCTGTCGGTAGGCTCGCATTCAGACAATCCTGTCAGGGGAAAATATGGTTTAAAAAGATAATTCACAATTTTTTTTCATTTTGGTGTTGCTTTTTGTTTTGTTTTGTAGCTCCTCTTCCACATTTGACTTCAGATGATGTTGATAAGGCCTTACAAAACTCTCCACGGTTAATGCATGCTAGAAACACAGGTAATGCTGGCACTGCTCCCATTGCTATAGGTCATCTTCTAAAAGCACAGGATTCCTTTTTATGGGTTACTTGCTAAAAATGGAAATGGTAAATCAGGAGGGAGACAAGTGTATCCTCTCCTTGCTGTGTGTGTGAGTTTTATGCACAGACACACAGAAAAAAGGTGAGATCACGTAGGGCCAGATGGTGCAAAAATGGTCTCCTTACTGGTAATTTCTTGTGTCCTACGAGAGAACGGGGTCCCTGACACATGGTAAACTGCAGGCTCAGGGCCTTTGTCTCTGAGGACTTTTTTTCTCATTCTGTCTCATTGTACTGTCAGATCTACTCCACGGATCCCTGGAAGGTTGGTGGAGCTCAAAAGTGCTTCAGTGCTTGCCTAAGTGCTGTGGGCTCTGGTGAATGGGGATTGTCTCCCCTCCCATGCAGTATATATCGTATAATTCAATAAAATTTCTATTTAGGCAGTTAGCTCATCTCATTTGTCAGCTATATGGGACTTGAGCTGGAAACTCCACTAAGTTTGATGTTGTAATTTCCACTAAGTCTGATCTGAACGTAAAATGATTTTTATTAATATTCACCCTTCTATTAATTTGGCCCAGAAAAGTATTGAGTGTAGGTAGGAGGACGATACAATACATGCCTCAAAAGCATCTGTCTTTCAGGATGTGACTTAAAATATCTATGAAAATAATTCAGAATAAATTTTATCTTGCTCTAGCAGTTGTGCAACAGAGGATGGCATGGAATTGTACATATAGTGTGGTATACATACTGATTAAAGTTGTTTGGAATATTGCATGATCATGCCTGAGGGTATTAGTTACCTACAGTGACCAGAAATAACAATTCTTTATGAGAAATGAAAAAGATAATACAAAGGATAATGCAAAAGAAAAAAAAAAAGAAAACCTTGGATTGCGATGCCTTTTTCGTATTTCATTTAGTTTTTCACTGTGGTAAACAGCAGTGAGTTTCCTAGCAAAATTAACTAGATTAGAAGATCTCTTCCTGAGATTATATGTTTGCCACTTGACATAAAGTCCTACTGTGGGCTGTAGGCCTGCTGCAAACCCCACCAAAAGCAACAAAAAATTTTCCGTTGACTTTGATGGGGTTTGGAATAAGCCTTAAGCCCTTTTTAAAAATAGATGGACTCGATGGTCTTTTCCATCTCTGGCTTTTCAATTTCTAATTTGCCAAGCGGTTTCCACATACAGTTATCCAAGTGTTGTTCAGCAGTTCTATGTGTTATCTTTTTCTATATGTGTGCACTGACAATGATATTTTGAAATTCATTTCACCAAAATGAGATTGTCTGCATTTCTGTCATTGAGAGTGTGAATAATATCATGCTGATCATCAGCATATGGATAATTAGTTATTCTGGTGGCATAAGAACTTTGGAGTGGGATTTTCAAAGGACCCCAAAAGAGTTAGAAACAAGTTCTTCTTGAAGTCAGCAATAATTGCACAAATCCTTATGACCCTTTTCATGTTCCTAGAGATGGTCGTTAGAAGTCTGTTGATGTAGTTAGAGCAATTTCAATGCCTGAGATAAGTGAGATACCATTTTCTATATCAAGCTCAGTATTTTTGATTTTTTCATTGTGTGAAGAGAATGAGATTTCTGAGGGTCTGACCCAAAGCTGACCAAAGTCTGTGAGAAGATTCCCACAGGCATCAATAGGCTTTGGCCCAGGCCTACAGTCTCTGTTGAAAATAGGAACCTGTTTGGGACGTGCATGCATTAATGAAGAGAAGGCAAAGAAGTTTTATTTCAGAAAATATGAAACCACCTGCCCAGGTGGAGGTGATTGTGGGGAAGGTGGAAGAGATTTCCTGAACTTGACTGTCTCCTCTCAGCACAGATTTTGCACAGACTTTTATCCAGTAATTTGAATGGATATACACAGGTGCAAAGGCTATCGGAATTAACTTTTATATATATAACAGTCCTGAGATAGAAAATAGTTATTCATAGTCTTCATTCAGACACACTACAAGAGGGAAAATATCTGGACTTAGGGACTGTGAAGATGAATCTTTAGGTGTTATGTCTTCTTTCTCTTCAGGAGGTGCCACTTTTATTTTTCCAAACACATCAGTTTATCCAGAAGCAACACAAAGAATTACAACCAGGCCAGGTATGAACAATGACCACCTTTTGTATGCTATGATCTGACTCATTTCATCTCTTGAAGTATCTCGTTCTTTTTCTCCTTCAACTCTCTTTTCATAAACATTAGGCTATATTTTGAATACACACACATATTATATACATATATTTTATATATATATGTATGCATATATCATTGTGTAGAGTGCGATGATTAAATAGAGCAGTTCAGTGTCTGTTTCTTCCACATATCTCTGTCTTTGAAGCAATACTATCTAGTGTTTAAAGCACCAGAGAATCAGAAGACCAGAGCTGTATTCTCTGGTTCTGTTGCATTGTCCCAGCACAGTCACTTTTCAGTGTGCTTCAGCTCTCTGTCTGTAAAATGAGGCAAGAATACCCTCTAATGCTATTTGAAGTATATTGGGAAAAAGTACTCTAAAAATGCAGGATCCATGTTTCTCCTGCTGTCTACGTTTTATTTATGTTTGAGGCAAATAAACCCCACAACACCTGATTCTAAGTTTAAGAGAGTAAATAGGTAAACTCAAAACATAAGAAGGTTCTTATTGCTCTAAAGTTTGAAACCCATGAAAGTATTGTGGGTGTACTGGTTTGTGAAAGGCTAAAGGGAATAATTAAAGAAGATGAGGACATTGCTATGAAGCTAAAAATCTTCACGACTAAAGATGCTGGAAAAATGCCTAATCTGGACATTTGCTTTTCCAGTAATAAGTGCAAAGTACTGTGAGACATCAAGAGGAGTTGCAGCAAAATATTAAATTTAAAGGAAATCCATTACTGAGCCAGAGGCATGCATCCAAGTGTTCTGAAGGAACGTACACTTTAATTGACTGAGCTCTTGTGAAAAGATACATTTTATCATTAAAAACAGAGGGGTTTTTGGATAGCAAATACTTCATCTATCTTTTATCAATGCTCTAGGGTATAATCCAGGAAAGTATACACAAGTAACTATTTTATATACACTTGCATACATGTATATATGCCTGTCTGCAGATTTGTTAATTGATAATTAAAAAGTTAGATAGGGAAACAGCTGCCAGACCATTACATGATCAAATCCACCCTCCTCAGCTTGTAGGAAAACAAACTCTTCTGCTAGATTTGTTGCCTATAACAATACTGTAGTGAATAGAAAGAAAACCACTGTTCCAATGCATACATTTGGCATTTGGCTTTCATAAGACATTTACCAAAGTGCCCCACAACTATTTACAATGAAAGTTAAATCAGGATATGGTAAGAAACAAAATATTTTAAGAAATCAAGAACTGGCTAATTAACGTGTTACGAAGACGAAATAAGTGACATCTTAAGTCACGGGTGCTTTAGCATTCTCTGCCATGATCTATAGTTATTAATAATTGGAAAAAGGACACAATAAAATTTGGTATAAAACTTAGAGATGACATATGATTTTGTCATTACTTAAAACCAGAGATTCCTCTAAAGGATTCCTGTACAGACGCCCAGAGCCTTATTAGAGGTCAACAAACTGGCAATATGTTAACAGTTCAAAATACAAGTTGATAAATGCGGTATTAGACACAAGTTACTTCGGTATCTTACTGATTTCAGATTAACCCTCTTCACTCGTAAAAGAAGAACTTAACATAGGCATCTTTATTTATGGCACAATTAAAGCCACTGCTCTAGTTGTTGGCCAAAGTGAAAAAAAAGTAAACAAATGAAGAAACACGGTGGAGGATCGGAGGATCATATGGGAAATCTGACTATGCCGTTAAATAAATCAGCAGTGTAGCCTTGTTTGGAAAGCTGTGTGAATCATCCCTTATCAAAAAGGCTATTTGCAGAATTAGAAGGTGCCTAGGGCAAGCCATGGGAATACGGAAAATCTTTCGAGTGTGTTGAAAGATATAAAAGTTTGAAATTGTTCAACTCAGGGTCTGGGGATGAGGAAACATGATATAATTATCAAAATAAAGAGTGTCACAGAGTACCTGCTTAGTCTCAGTATTAGAAGAAAGGATATTAAAAAAAAAGTTAGACATTTTCATGAAACATTAAAGCAGACCGTGGCCCTCGTGGTCACAGGTTGTAGTAGTACTCAGGAGCTTTGAATGGCACGGAAGAATCTGGACATGAATATGGATGAGAAGACAAAGCATAGCTATAGAAACAATTACCAACTATGCAATTTAAACTGATTGCCCAAAGCTCTTAGTAGTTTCCAACGAAAATGGACATGTAACATAAGACCAGAGGGACCTGGGTGTCCTGCAGGAAATAACCATGCCAATTGACAGGATTTCAGGAAAAGGCTAGAATGAGTCTGCTGTGAAAGAATACTATTTTATGGGTATGTTTCCACTGGATTTGAACAAAAACTGGATTTTTTTATCCCATGGGAAATTCTGTGATTTCAATATTTGTTTCATCCTGACGTGTGATGAAAAAATAAAATACTAGTTTTCTCTGAAGTAAAAGGTTCTAAAAAACCCCACGTATCAGACATGGTGAAGTCCTTCATTTCAGCATTTTTATCCAAATCACATTTACAATGACACTTAAAAAACAAAATGCTTTATGTCAACATTAAAGGCATCTTCCTGTGTTCACACTATTCCTTATGAGAGTTGTAGTTTGGATATGGGGTGTCTCTATTCTTCTGTGTAAACTGGTGTATCCTAACTAAACATTTCCTACGACAAACAATCATGTGATTTTGAAAGTATTCTTTTATTTTATCTTTTACAAATGAAAGTTGACAAACATCTTTAAAGTCAGAATTTCATTCAGAAAGAAGAAAAGATTTTTTTGCAGAAAATCAGTTTTCTCTCAAGAAACTATTTTGTTGGCTTATTCCATGGCTTTCCTTTTAGTTAAATGTCACATTTCAACTAGACTGCAAAGAAGCTTTTCCATAACAAAGCACCCTTCATGTGAGAGCAATAGCAGACCCTGGGGACAATCACTTGATGACATGGAAAAGGTCAAATATAGACTCTTCAGAAGGGACAGGAGAGGAAGGAGGGGGGGGGGGGGGGGTGTGGTGTGTGTGGAATAAATAAAGTTAAATGGGAATTAGCCAAATCCTGGGATGCAATTCTGGAGAAAGTAATTAAGCATTGCCATTGTTAGGGCACTACAATAGAAAATAGGAAATGAGCAGGGCTTGTAATGAAGTGCAATGACAAAGGCATATTTCTTCAGTCACCTTTACAACAGAACATGAGGTTTCAACAAGCTGAAAGCCATACAATGAAGCTATCAGGAGCTCAGGAAGACCTAATATGGGTTTGTCTACGTCTCATCAAACAGGAGCATTCCCATCAAAGATAAGGACATGTTGTACTAATATCTCATGAGTAAGAACAGGTCTGCTTATCTAGGATGGCAACATGTTTATCGAGGCACAATACTGAACTAAGAATGAAGTTGGAATTTTGCGCTATTTCAAGAAAAGCTGATAACTGGATTTTTCTTTTAAAGGAGAGGGCGTAGTCAGAAAACCATCTTATGATGTGTTGAGTTAAAAGGCAAAACAGTTTTCTCACAGTACTAAACTTGTACCAAATATATTTTAAGGCTGCAAATGCCACGGAGTACAAGCACACAACATCACACAACCTGGTCAGTGTAGAGGTGTCTAATAATTTGGAGACCCACAAAGGGATAGAGGGAGAGGGAGAGGGGGGAGGAGAGGAGAGGGGAGGAGAGGAGAGGAGAGGAGAGGAGAGGAGAGGAGAGATTGCAGGATGAGTTGCACAGCCTAGTGACAAGCACGTACCTTCTGTGATCTTCTTCCCCTATTCGTCTGTAGTCTTTCTGGGCAGGGAATGGAAGAACTGGGGGAAAAAAAAAAGTTCCCTATGTCACCAGAATCTCCCTGGCAAGGCTGCCATGGAGGTAGGGATCTGGCCAGGCAAAGCAGGACTGGACAAGATACATGCAAGCAGCCCACGGCTGAGCCCTGTCCCCCTCTGTACAGACAGAACTTGGAAACCCCTGGAAACATGACCAGAGTCGTCCTGAATTTTTTTGCCAGATGATAAAGTCCTCAGGCCATGAGGTGTCTCTAACTAAAACAATTAATAGCAGTGTTGATCTCAACCTGGTCAGGACATCTGCATGTTACAATGATTCACCTGCACACCAGTATTCTGCTCAGAGATGAGCACTTGTGCAATTCACTTTATTTTCTCGGAGTTTCTGAAGGACAAGACTGTGGAATAGTTCTCAAGAAATCAGGGATAAGAAGGCACTAGTTATTCAAATGTAATACAAAGATAAATTGCATATCTCAGCAAAAGCAAAGTTTTTGAAGTGTAAGATTCCGAGAGACAACAGTGCTGCTAGCGCCAGTCTGCTCCTCAAGCCAAACAGACTAAATAAATTAAAGGCAATTTGGTTGCGAATTTCACATTACACTTTATTTCCATTCGATACTTCTGCTCATAGTGCTTGGAAATGGGCAGAGATACATCTGTTTTGCACAGAGCCAGTCTGTGACTGTTTCTTTACTTCCTGACTGGTTTCACTTCCAAACATCATTTCTAAAATAAAGCACAAGCACTGTTAAGAATCAAATCACCTGCTCCAACTTAGTTCTACCAGGTGGGTACTGCTACCTTCCTGAGATCCTGGGCAGGCTACGTAAGTCTCTGATTTTGGCAGCAATTTTAGCCAGCCATAGAAAAGCACAGGCAACTGCAGGAGACTTTAAAGGGTAAACCAAACAGTTGAATTTACTACATATACTTTATGAAGGAAGCTTTTCTGTTTTAGTTTCTTCATTTTTATATGCTAAAGCACTTAAATGAAATAAAAGTAATAAGTAAATGAAAGAAAAGGCAAACGAAAATTTAGATATGTAAAGTTAAGAAGCCTGCCCCAAGAAGCAGAAAGGAATATTTAAATAGATGAAGCAGGAAAAAAAGCTATCCACTTTTTGGAAGAAATATAATATGTATACACATATATGTTTAACATTTAAGCATGTTCACTGTTTTCACATATTATGTTTCTAAAGATCTGTGAGGATACTGGGGTGTGGAAGGGAAAGTGAAGGAAAAAGAATTATTAATAATTTGAAATGACTAGTAGAAGAGAAACAAGTGAGATTGGCAAAGTGCAGCAATCCACTATCCCAAAAGGTTGGATTCTGAATGATGAGAGCGAGACCAGAGGGTGTGTCTGAGGAAGAGAGCACTTGCAAGCAGGAGGAGTAATATCACAGGGAGAGCACAACAAAGTGCGTGATGGCAATGAGAGCCGGTGCAAACACAAACATACAACAGTGGATTAGAGGAATCTCCAACAGACAAAACCAAGACTTTGTTGTCTCACATATCTCTGCCTATGACCAGGTGGCAGAAAAGGGAACTCTCAAACTCAACCTATAAGGTTTGATCAATCTCAAGGGGTGACAGCAACAGACTAACGAAGAATGACACATGAAATCAACTAAAGTCTATCTTCTTAAAATAACTGTTACATGCTGAGATTGGGAGGGATGGTACACAGTTCATGCTTAATCTGAGCTCTGACCTCCTGGGGGACTTTTCCTGCAAGACTCTAGCATAAATTGTCCATGATGTACAGTGTGTGTCATTCTTTGGTGTCCTGGGCTGAGGAAAGAGACCAAAGGGAGTACTCTAAGCCTTTGGAAATGATGGGGCCTATAGAGTATTTGTACCAGCTATTTCAGTGCAGTTCAGACATCTAACAAGAATAGGCACCTCTAAAGAGCAATGCAAAGGGCAATGTGGTAGTTATTTTTAGAGACAATGAAGACAATAAAGGTTTTAACAAGGAGTGTCATTCCTATTTCAGTAATTTTTCCAATCCAATGGGTCCCCTAGAAATGTGCCCCTTATGGACATAAACACTTTATGCCATTTCTGCATGAATCCAGTGTATTTTTCCTTTGCAGATTTGCCTTATGAGCAAGCCAGGAGATCAGCATGGACAAGTCACACCCACCCCAGTCCTCAGTCAAAAGGTAAAATACATCTGCATATGTCTAGCCTGTGGGCCTAATGCACGTCTGGTGCAACCTGGATAGACTCTGAAGTGAACTGATGGGAGCTACCTCAGCATTCAGCTCTGGAGGATTTTTACCTGTGCCTTGGCTGGAAAGCCTGTTAGCTGTGTATAGGCAATACCGGGTGGAGTCACTGGGGCAGACACATCCTTCCTTGAATTCAGGCTTCATCAGGTCCATTTAGTCTTATAGCTAAATCCTATTGTGACCATCATTGAGTGGTAAGCAGCAGGAGTCCCAGACCTGTGATCAGTCACAGGTTTGGTAACCATCTTCCAAACTGGAAAAATAACTACATGGGTTTTTCCATTTTTAGCTACTCAGCCATCATCCTCAACAGTTCCCAAAACAGAAGACCAGCGTCCTCAGTTAGGTAGGTGTCATTTTGTTTGAATTACGCCTGGGTGTTACGGGGTTTGTTGAACATGATGAGAAGGACAGCTCTCGCCTACTAACCAGGAGAAAATCTGATTCAGACCACTAATAAGATCTCCAGCTGGTGACCGCTAAATCTCCAGACGTGTATGAGTTGGCTCTACACCTGGATCTGAGATGAAGGCTCCCATGGCCATTGAAAATTGCTTTTAGTAAAGTTTAATGGCAGTGACAACCTTGCAGAGTGAAAAAAGCTGTTAAACAAAGTACCTACATACAGTTTAGGTACAAAGGTGGAAAGTAAGGATGTCAAAAGACCATATACTCCACAGTAGTTGAAATGCTAGCAGTTGGAAAATGTGCATGAGCAAAGAAAGGAAAATGGATTACAGCATACAGAAACCTATTTGAATTGGGCTCCTGAAATTAAAAAGGAGAATTAGAAGGATTCTTAGTCTATTGGGAAACTGAGGAGAAAGTAGAAGTTCATGAATTTGTAGACTAGTGGTTTTTGCAAAATGGGTGCATTTTGTGTTTTCAAAGCAGCTAATCCATGGGGTAGGACCTAATCCCTTATTGTGAATTAGACTGCGTTTTGGGCAGGTAGCTAGAAAGCACTACAGAGATTCTGAGTCAGTTACAGCTTTTGTTAACAGCAAAAAGGTAGAAATAGGAAATAAAAGAGATCTGGAGGATATTCTTAGCTCAGAAGACTCTGAGCCTGTTTTTATCACATGGATTTCAAATCATTATTCTGTTTTTTGTTATAGCTAAATAAGACTGTGCGCATGACTACGTCTCATTAACTCATATACGTGCTGCCTGGGAAGTATTATACTGCTTTTTTTCCCAAATAGCGTTTTACCTAATCTGGCCTTCCATCCATGAGAATCTTTCAAGAAATATACTGATCATTTATGTAAGTCCTCAGGACTGTTTAATGGCTGTGTGTGAGCTGCACAGATTATTTAGATGTATAAGGAATGTAACCTGATTATCTTCTTGGCTGTAAAACTGGCGGCTGTTTGAGAACAGCTGTCCAGAGATGAGGCAGCCCAGCAACAGGGTCATTCAGTGAGGGGCTCCGGGCTGTGCTTGCAGCCCATCACTTCAGCTTTTGTACTTCTGTCACAAGCTCCCCTTTTTCCTGTTGTACTTCAATTCAGGCCAAAATAAGTTTTCATTTCTGGAGGGAATCCCCTGAGAAAAACATTGAGATGCTACAGGCGTTGTGTGGCTGACACAGGCTCTTCTGAAAACCCTAGTTGCAAGGTTAATACAGGGGATCCCTCACTGGCCTCCGGTGACAAAGAAGAATAGACCCAGCCACATTGCCTGGGTTCAGCCATGCACTCTCAGCTCTCTTCTGGAGGCTCTTTTGGCACAGAGTGAGTTACCAGTGGCGCGGGGAAAACAAATGTGGCCTCACAAGAAGAGAGGCCGCTGTCCTTTGTGGAGGGGACTCTCACCCCATTACCTGTCTGTGCCTGTGGGCCCTGGCATGCTGCAAGGGTCAATAGTACCAAAGGGTGCTTGCGTGTATGCGTACTTTATTTAAGTAGGAATCAGAATACTTCTGGGCCAAATTTACAGTGTGTCTGAATATATGCTTGTGCATGCTAGTACAGTACAAAAGGCAAATGTGTATCCTTGCAATTGTCCACTTGCACACCCAGTTTTATGGGAAAACATACAAATATTGCGATGCAGAGAAAGGAACCGCTTTCCCCAGTGTTGGACCTGATGTCCCATCAGGCGGTATACACTGCCCCTTACAAGGTTAAAAAATAACACCTAAAATATTTGACATCATTGTTACATGATTTAAAATCTTTCTTTCACAATGTTCTAGATCCATATCAGATTCTTGGACCGACCAGCAGCCGACTTGCAAATCCAGGTGAGAAGGGATTTTGCTGATTTAGGAGGATTTCTCTTCACTGCTAGTGTCCCCATTCCAGCTTTAAGGCCAGACCTGGAAGGTGATGTGACCGATTTTACCACTCTTCAGTATGACCCAGTGGGAGCTGATGACACCCAATGTGTTGCAGGATTAGGTTTCTAAATTACACAAGGGTGGGAGTGAGGTCACAGATTAAGATACATAAACTCATGTATCTTAATGTAGGTGTCTACATATGAGCTAGGTGTCTTATTTCCCATGGTTTTCATTGGAGACGTAGTTAATACAGCTCTCTCTAGAGAGCTATTCAAGTCATCCTAGAGTAGATGGTTACATTCAGTCAGTCAAATACCTCATTAGAGATATTTGAACTCCTCATATCAATAGGAGTTCACTTCAGTTGCCTAAACATTGGGATTTTGTTAAGTGCTGTAAGATATCCCATCTGGCCTCCAGGTGCCCCTCCAGAAAGGCATGAGTCTCTTACCGATCTGCGTCATATGTGTCCCAGATTCTGTTAATCCACAATACAATGCCATACTGATCTTGACAAATACAAAATTTTGGGATGAATAACCCAAACCAGCAAAAATATATAGGGAAAAAACAGGAAAGCATAATCTATTTGCAAAGAATAATTGGGTTAAACACTTCAAAAATGTTCTCCCACTTTAAGAAGAAGGCAACGGGGCGCATTGTGGACAGGGGCTTGTAGCATATTTTAGCTAAAGGCGAGGAACCTTCTTGGTGAGTTAATAACACTGATTGTGAACTGTGCAGATTGCACTGTGGCTACTCTGAGTCCGCAGGACACACTGTGGCCGTACACCACCATAATCAACATCATAATCTGCCGCAATGGATTGACATTGTACGTGCCACTTCCTGTTTCCCTTGCTGTAACAGCCACAGGGCACAGTGTTCCTTGTTCCACATTGCAAGTCTCCTCAACCCCCAGTGACAATGTTTCTTCTTACGAGGATTGTATGGCTTTTCAAGGCATGAAATTGCCAAAGTACTGATTCATCTCCTTTCACTTTATCCCAAGTGACATCAAGCACAGTTCTAGATTAGCTTACTTTCTAAACAGTTTTGCATGGCATGGAAAAGCAATTAAGTGAGTATTAAGAATAGGGTTTTCCAAATGGCCTAAGGCAGTGGGTTTCCAAGTGACACTTACCTTAACTGGAAGTGGGGGCCTACTTCCCTTTAATTTGTTCGTAAACCCCGGCTTTTACAATTTTGTCAAGCGTCCATTTGGTAGCCTTCATTACTGTGGAAAACACTAACATGATCTGTATTGGGATACTTTTTCAACATTTGGATATGGAATTCCTACACATCGTCATTCCTGTGCTTTAACATGTTTTGTGTGTTTATAAATTGGTGGAATTACTCTCTCATTAAAAGGAAATTGACAGCAACCATTTATTTTCATAGGACTATATATTACATTTGGAAGGCAAGTGTTTATGTTAGAACATATGTTGGATTGCTTATTCAAAAATTTGTGTTTTGTCCAGTGCTGAACTGTTTATTGATTTTCAAAGGCTAATCCTCTTGTTATGTTTCGTGTATTAAAACTTGCATGTCTTGCTCATACCATGGATTCTTTTGTTTGTTTGTTTACTTAATGCATGTTAATGGAACAGAAGAAATTCATTAAGGACAGTTTGGATAAATATCATTTAAACGAATATGGGTTTCAGTTGCACTGAAGTGTAAACTGCTAATGGATTTCAGATGCTACTCTAGCTTGATATTATAATTCGCTACTATAAGCTTTCTGAAGAAAAGCTTTGTTTATTATACCCACATATCTGGTTTGGAAGAAAAAAGAAACCCAACTGATTCCTGGTCAGAGATGTACTTAGAAGTTAGCACATACAAGCTGGTTGGCAAATTCTGCTGACATTGTGCTTGTGAAACAGATTGCCTTGCAAGCTGCTTCAGCTGTATTTTGCATCATTTCAGTGCTGCTTTATTAAGAAATGCTAAGCTTTTAACATGAATATCAGTGGCAAGGCCATTTGAAATCTACTTTCAATCGCCTAAAATGGTCAAATTTTGTTCCTATAACTCTGCGCAACACACTTCTGCAAATTTGACAGCAGACTAATTATTTTCTTTTTAAGATGAAATTGGCAGAGGAGGGAGAAAAACCCAACATTTTACGTCTTAACTTCAATAATCATTTTAACTCGTTTGACACAGAACGATGACAAGAATGTATTTTATGGACCTTTTCACTGTTCTTGCAAATGTTTTGCTCTATGGTTGTATGCAGTGCAACAGCAATCTAATAAGTTTCCGTTCTGCATTTCCCCAAATGCTGCAAATGGATGATATGGTTTGGCATAAGCCCAGCTTTCTCTAAACTTCTCCATTTTGTGTAGGCTTATTCCATAGCAGAGAACATTTAGTTGCAACATAATGCTGTGAGAACAAGCAAAATGTTACGCAAGTGAAAGCTGTTTGTCCTGAACTTTAGAGATTAGTTTCCTAAATGAGTGCCGTATTATTTCCCCATCAATTGTCTACACTGAATGACATTAGGTAACTATTATATCTCCCTGTAATGGCATTCTGCCACTCAGATGAGGGAAAACATGACACATTACCATTATATCTGCTCTTTAGGATTTCATGAGACAGGGCTGGGAGAAAGGGGACTAGTTAAGAGTAAGAAGTAGGAACCGACATTGCAACATTTCCTAATAGGGTCCTATGTGAGAGCTTAGAAGAATTGATGTCTTAACATTATTAGTCACTAGTCCTGACACTTCTATTTCATTTCCCCCTGCAGGGAGTGGGCAGATACAGCTATGGCAGTTCCTGCTGGAGCTCCTCTCGGACAGCTCCAATTCCAACTGCATCACCTGGGAGGGCACCAACGGGGAGTTCAAGATGACCGACCCCGACGAAGTGGCTCGACGCTGGGGGGAGCGGAAAAGCAAACCTAACATGAACTATGACAAACTCAGCCGTGCGCTTCGCTACTACTATGATAAAAATATTATGACTAAGGTTCATGGTAAGCGCTACGCCTACAAATTTGATTTCCACGGAATTGCTCAGGCTCTCCAGCCTCATCCCCCAGAGTCGTCCATGTACAAATACCCATCAGACCTCCCCTACATGAGCTCCTACCATGCGCACCCTCAGAAGATGAACTTTGTAGCTCCCCACCCCCCTGCTTTGCCCGTAACATCGTCCAGCTTTTTTGCTGCCCCTAACCCATACTGGAATTCACCAACTGGAGGTATCTACCCCAATACCAGGCTGCCAGCTGCTCATATGCCTTCTCATCTTGGCACCTACTACTAAGCGGGGAAAAAGAGAAACACCAGAAAAAGCAAACAAAGACACTTCTCGCTGGGATACGGTCCCTGATGAATTGCAATGAACTCTATTGAGTACACGAATTAAAAGTGCCTAAAGAGACAAATGAAGGTTTGGCTGGGAAAAAACACATTAAAAAATAGATGTCAAAAAGACTCTTTGTAGTAGGGATTTAAAGGAGATATTCAAGAAGTATTAAGATACTAAAATGTAATGTATATGGGCATCGACTCTGTGGACCAAACAACAATAGACTATTGTAGGTAAAAGCATGAAATGATAAGGAAAACCTACGAAAGCTAGTGGTCTTAAAAAGTTGATAAGCTTATGTGTAAAGTTTGATATCTTGCTAGTGCAAAACTGGGACTATACTACAGCAATATAAGGATAAGTCTATAGTGACCTAACATACAATATATGAATCATTAGAAAAGAGGGGGGAAGAAGGGAAAAAAAAAAAAAAAGAAAAAAACCCTACCTGTATTTAAAAAATCAAAACATATCAACAAAAGAGACTGGTTTAGTGTGGAAGCTGATTTGGAATATAACAACATTGTTTTGGTTAAAATCAAATGCGTTCCATTCATCAGAGTGTTATCAGCTACTCAAACTGTGAAGACAACCCAAACTTTAAGATTTCTTGACAGTATTACAGGAACCCTGAGCCAAACATTGGAAATGAGAATGTGCTGAAGGGCAAGTGTATGATTGTAGACCAGAGGCCTGCACCTGACAGAGGAAGCAGAAAGGAGAAAGAGGAGGACAAAGGTGGTGAGAATGGGAGAAAAGAAACTTCTTTACCAGTAGAGACTGAAAAGACTGAAAACTTAGTAGCGTTGGGACTATGAAGAAACACTTGTTTGGACTTGTGAAACATATTGCTCAGTATCACACCATTCCCAGTATTACAGAAGGAACAGACTTGATTTTATAGTAATAAAAAAAGGTGGAAAAAGGGAAAAGCAGAAGAATTCAGAAATCAGAATATGCATCTCTTTTTAAAAAAAGTAAAACTGGAATTGTGTTTGATATTTAAAAGCTACCAGTTAGAACCTCATCATTATTAAGGGAGTTTGTTTTCTATTGGTTAAAGCAAGAGACAACCCCTGACTGCCCAAATCAGAAATCATCTAAGTATTTTTGTTAGGCGGGCGCCAGTTTTTCTTTATCGAGTCGCGAACGCTGTGCGTTTGTCAGAATGAAGTATACAAGTCAATGTTATTTTTTCCTTTTTATATAATTATTATATAACTTATGCATTTATACACTACGAGTTGATCTCGGCCAACCAAAGACACAAAAAAGGGACAATCAAAAATATTGTGGCCTTGAATTTTAACTCTGTATGCTTAATGTTTACATTATGAACATATTAGTACTTAGAATGCAGAATGTATGTAATAAAATAAGCTTGGCCTAGCATGGCAATTCAGATTGACACTGTAGTTTGCATTTGCATTTGCATTTTTAGTGCCTGACACGCCTATCAGATCTCCTACTCACCATGTTAAAATATGCTAGGCATTTTGTTTTAAAATTTTGTTATGTGGAATCTGGCAATCATGAAAATGTAGGACCAAATAACAATGCTTAGCCTAAGTTCAAAATGGACAGGTGCTGTGTATCTTCTTTTCCAGACAGTTTTGCTAAAATACTTGCAGCCCTTCTTTAACAGTGCCTTGCCATTCTTGTCCTGAGCTGCTTTTGCCCAGAGATTGCAACCATGCCCAATTCTCTGACAACTTCATGGCCAAGGTTGAAAATGAAGTCTAAAGGAGGCCTCTAAGGAAGAATACTGACACCCAGAAATTATCTTTTGTTGCCATCAGATTATGCGGCAGAATCTCATCCTGAGATGTGTTTTCATACTGAATCATATGTTGAATTACCATGCCCCCTTGCTATTAATACATACTGTATCATTATTAGTAAATAAAGTGAATAATGAATAATTTCCATTATTCCTCACTTTAGAATGGAGTGTATGGTAGCTTGTTAATTTGTCCATCCTGGCTGTTTACAAAGGGCAGGATGTTTTCTTTCTGTTCTAGACTTAGAGGCTTCCCACACTGTACCCTGGGCACCAGAACTACATCTGGTGCCTAATGACATGACTCCATTTTTTTGCAACACCAGCTGAAGAACTGGTCTGGAAAATCAGCACTGACATTTATGAGTGGCTCTCCGCAGCAGGCAGTGTTTACTGCAGAGACTCCAGACAGCTCAGACCTCCAACTGTATCCCTTTTTTGCTGTTCTTTTGTCTCTTTTTCAGACAAAATGGGTGTGGTTTCAGGTTTTATAGCAAATGTTCCACATATCCATTTTGTGGAGCATTAATCAGTGCTGTGCAATGGGAGCCTGCTTGTCAAACTCCCGTGTTATGGGTGTCTTGGTGGCAGTTTATAAGCACAGGATTATATTACTAATGTTTGAGACTTGAGCAGTGGCATCATAAGCCTTGTGATCGTTTGGGAAATAAGCACTGTAAGTCTGTATCTCTTAAAAAATAAAAACTCGCGGAAAGGTTAGAAAAACTGAACTCTTGGAAAAGGTTAGTCCCTCACTATTTTAGAAAGTTATGGCAGGCACACCTACCTGCTGACTATAAGAATAATAGTTTGCCTTTCAGTGGAAATACATCTACAGATGCTTGCTATCTACTTCATGTGTACTTCCAACTCAAAAAACGGTAAGTGTATTGTTGAACCGCCTTTTAATTAAACACTTAAACATCCAGATAAAACAACCGTCCTTGTTTAGATTGGCAAGGACATGCCTGGAGGCCTCCAAAGCATCCCCAGTGCGCACAGAGCTGTCTGCAGGATTTCCAGATTGTGTTGCCTGGCTGCTATCGTGTGCAATGGGAACAACATCCTGACATTAAAAGAAAGGATCCAAATCCTGGGACAGGGATGGAGTCACAGGAGATGGCGTGATGGAGACCCCTCATGATGAAGAGCAAAATCCTACAGTAAGCCATGAGTAAGGTCACTGGTGAATCAGTCCAGGACAGCCATTGTAGAGCTACACCTTTCCCCAGGACCAGCTCGCAGCTTTCCAGGAGCCTTGGAAAATCTGGATTTTGAAATCCTGAGGATGAAGAGGAGAGCGAAGGATGGAGAGACCCTACTGCTGCAGCACTGGCACAGGTGGGTCTGCTACTTGCAGGACCTCCCTACCCCAGGGGCAACAGCCACCCCACAGGTTCTTCCTGCTGGAGGGCAAGGACCAGCCCAGTGTCCCAGGGCACTGGCAGAGGCAAAACAGACGGTGGACCCATGGTAGTGTCTCTGCTGCTCACCGCCTGCTACCCAATCTGGCCTTGCTGCTAGGAGCCAGGAAGACCAGAGTGAGGCCAGAGTTTTAGGGGCTGGTTCCCAGTTCAGACCATGACAAGGGATGGGTCCAGTACAGCCAAAATCTTCAGGGAAGCTGAGCAACTCTGCGTCCATACCATGACAGACATTCATGTGAGGCTCAGCCAGACCCCAACACCTCAGCTGAACATCTGCCATTTAAGCACCTGTGTGCATGGACAGCATGGCCCTGATGAGTCCACGTTGGTACAAGTTGGTCATGTTGATAACTTTGCCCTTTGTTTGAATTAGAACTTCTTTTAAAGTCAGTCATCAGTCAAGTCTCATACCTTATTACAGCACTCTGAGGACTGCTCTGAAAGTAGAAGCTTTATTTTTCCTGAAATTTAGAGATACAGGTGTGCTTTCAGCAAGAAATACACATCTATCTGAGAAGCTACACTGTAACATGGGAGGTGATGGTGAGAAAAGTTTCAAAAGTAAAACTAGGAAGCTCAAATTTCACCGTTCTCAATCAAGATATTTCCTCTGATATTAAATTGGTTTTAGTGAGTATATAAAAAATGCCTTTGAAGGATGTATTTTACACTTGTACTGTGAGTCTTAAAGGAAGATCGACAGAGGTTAGGACAGCACAGCACCAACTGTAATGAACACCTTCATTCCCCACACTTTCCACATTCAGAAGAGTCCACACTGGGTACCTCAAACGCCACATGCTTTTTAAACTGCCCACAGTAACATAGGGGTCGTCAGTGATTTAGACTTTCTTCTGCAAACTCTTCTTGCTCAGACTGTTTCTTACACCAGCTAAGATCTAATTTTAAAATAAATTTTTAATTACAGATGCATTAAAAAAGGCAAAAAACCCACTCTACCTTATATTATATTCTTAATGATTCCATGATCTTTTTCTGTGCCATCCTCTCAAGTTTTGGTCACATCAGGGGAATGGCCCTGAGAATAGTCTCAATCGCTGGTAAGTCAGAATGGGACCTCATCCATCGAAAGGATTCATTTAACTCGTGCCTGAATTTTAACTGCCTCCTGAAGCAACCCTGATGCAACACAAGTGCTTAGTTCCCTATCTGGTCAGTGGAGGGATCCTTGGGATACCTTCACAGCAGATCCTGCCTGCCTTTAGGACCTACGTTAAGGAGATTAGGTGCTACCATGGAGGCTCACAGCAGACTCTGGCTAGTCCTTGGGCTTGGCTGTGACCTCACTGACCATCAGCAAGACAAGCCCTTTCATGAGTGACAGGTAACCCAGTTATGTGGCAGCAATGCCTGGTGGAAAAAACAGAGCTCCCTTGTGTTTTCTTGGTAAAGATATTTCTTCTTTTTTTCCCCTCATTGGAGTTGTCACATCCCTTGCTGTGTTGGGCTGTTGGGAGACCCCTTCCTCATCAGAGCTCAGCTAAGAGCTCACAGCCCTTAGGGTTCAGAGGAGGCCACCCTCCAGCACTCGGCATTACACTGAGGGAGGAAAGGGCTAAGGAGTCCATGAAGCCTCCCACTTGGTTAATTAGCACTATGCCCCTCCCTCCATGATGAGCACTGCATATACACACACCTGGTAGAGGCATGAAGCTCTCAACTATACACTCCCTCATGCCTCTGACCATCTGGTTATGCCTTGACCTCTGTGCAGACCACACGAGTGGGTCACACCAGGATTTCAGAAAGAGAAAACATGAAAATGAAGTCTGGGTAAGCCACACCATTTTCAGGACATGAGGCTGCTCAGAAGGCTGTCCTGACTCCCTGCTTGTTTCCAGGCTTCAGCTGCAACCTCCAAAGTGGCTTGGCTCCACCGCTGCCCCTTGGGCGGTGTGACCGCTCCTTTGAGGCACTGGCAGCTGAGACTACATCAGATGCATGACCCAGTGAGAGCCTTGCTTGAAAAAGGGGGACCACTTGGTGAGCTGTTTAATGACGATATTAGGCCAACTGGAATGTGGAATATTGTTTCAAAATGTAATAGCCATCATTGTTTAAAAAGGCACATATTTTCAAGAAAACTAAATAAAACAGCCAGGCTGCTTAGGCTAGGAATTGCCCTGAGATGTACTTCTAAATCACTGGAGTGAGGACTTCTCAAAACCAGGCTCAGAAAATTTCTTGGGTTGTATACCAGAATCTTAGGCCATATATATTTCATAAAATAATAAAAGGCAGAATAATTTTCTCTGCACAATCCTAGAAGAAGTAGTTAGAAAGTCTACTTGGGAAACCCCATCCATCCCCCTCACTATTACGGAACTATTTTCTATTGTATACTTACTGATGTTTCCTTAACCCGCTTCTTATTTGAAAAGGTCTCAACTCCAGAGTATTTCCACCCATTCCCTTAACACAGAGGCTAATATATCTCATTATCAAAGAGGTTTGTTTTTTTTTCCTGCTATTTTTGTATTTTGCAATTTCTTCTGATTACGCTCCCCATGCATCACACTCCAGAGTTCCTAGCCTGACTCAATGTTTACAGCTTTCCAAATATTTGTAGTTTGTTATCATGCTCTCTTTGACTGGATGTTAGCCAAGCTTAGACGTATTCCACTTCACAAACCTATTCCTCTTCTTCTCTGATAATTGTTAATGGGCCCTTCTTTTTTTTTTGTTGGTCTTTTTTTCCCCCCCCTGTCTCTGCACATGAGCAGGCCTGATGTCTCCTGCTGTCTAAACCATTTCTATCTATGACTTTTCTGACTGCCACCTCCTTCCTACTGGAGTCTATGCCTCTCTCCCCAGTCAAGCAGCTAATGTGCTTGTAGCCTCACCTGACTGAAAGGTCTTCCTTGAGCAGCTAAAAGACCCTTCACCCCTTCAGCTCTGAATGGACTTCCACGTTCTTCTTTGTTTGGAGCAGTTTCTTTCTCATGAACCGAAAAACCTCCCTTCCTCAGATCTCTTCACCAACAGACCACCAGGAAGGTTTTTCCAAACTACTGTTGTGAACTTGCTGCACTAATTCCATCAGCTCATCTCGCCCAACTGTGCAGTGTTTATTTTGGCCCTGTTCTCTCTGTGTCCCGGCCAGGCTGAAAGCTGCTTCAGGCAGAAAATGCACATCCACGAAGCACCCAGCAATGTGTTGCTGCTTACTACCAGATAATC